ATACAAAATACACAGTAAAAAGATTATTATTATTATTATTATTATTATTACTATAATTATTATTATTAGTGATAATAATAATAATAATAATAATAATAATATAATAATAATAATAATAATAATAATAATAATAATAATATTATTATTATTATTATTATTATTATTATTATTATTATTATTACTATTAATTACTATAATTATTATATTAGTGATAATAATAATAATAATAATAATAATAATATTATTATTATTATTATTATTATTATTATTATTATTATTAATTTCTGGGAAGGAATAACCAGACTAGACATTTAAAAATTCAAGGATTCCGGAGGTTTCATTAGCCACTATTCTCTCTCTCTCTCTCTCTCTCTCTCTCTCTCTCTCTCTCTCTCTCTCTCTCTCTCTCTCTCTCTCTCTCTCTCTCTCTCTCTCCCTCTCTCCTCTCTCCTCTCTTTCTCTCTCTGTCTCTCTTTAAATATACCATTATAACTCACTTTAATTCTGTTAAAAACGATGTAGCTTTAAAATATACGATTTTTTAAAACATTTTTCATTTAAATGATGAATTTTTTTGTGTGTGTCATCCTGGCCAGACTGATCAATAATGGCGTCCTCCATCTCTTTTATTTTTCCCCACCGGAAATAATTGCATCTGTCACCGCTTCCAAATTCATCGTTTTTTCCCCTATCTGTTGCTCTAATATTTTCCCCTGAGTGTCTTTGCTCTCCTCTTTATGTCGGCCTGTTACAGCCACCTGGCTGGCTGGCTGGCTGGCTGGCTGGCTGGCTGGCTGACTGGCTGGCTGGCTGGCTGGCTGGCTGGCTGGCTGGCTGGTTGGCTGACTGGCTCTCCTGTTGGATGGGTGGATGGCAAGAAGAGTGACTGGCTGGTTGGCATGCTTAAATGCTGATTAGCTGGATAACATGCCTGATGGCTGACTAGATGGATTGCATGTCTAATGGCTGACACGGTAGTGAGCTGGCTGGATAAATGACTAGCTGGCTGGTTTGCTGAATAGCTGGCTGCTAGCTGGCTCGAAGGCTTGAGGAATAAATGAATTGATGAATGGTTGGCTGACTGGCTGGACAGACTGACTGGTCGCCTGCAGTTGGCTGGCTAGCTGTCTGGCTGGCTGGCTGGCTGGCTGGCTGGCTGGCTGGCTGGACAGACTGACTGGTCGCCTGCAGTTGGCTGGCTAGCTGTCTGTCTGTCTGGCTGGCTGGCTGGCTGGCTGGTTGGCTGGCTGGCTGGCTGGCTGGCTGGCTGGCTGGCTGGCTGGCTCGCTGGCTCGCTGGCTCGCTGGCTCGCTGAGCGACTGGCTGAGCGACTGGGAGGGCACGAAGAGCGGCAGCTGTTTTGAAAAGATCAGTTTGATAGAACCCTTGTTAATGGAATCACCGGCGGCGTCAGGCTGAAAGTGTAGACAGAATCAAACACTCTGTGACAGGTTCCAACCCTCTGTGACAGGATCTAACCCCATGTGACATAATTTAACCTTCTGTGACAGGCTCCAACCCTCTTTGACAGGATCCAACCCTCTGTGACAAGGGTCAACCTTCTGTGACAGGATCCAACCCAGTGTGACAAAATTCAACCTTCTGTGACAGGATCCAACCCTCTGTGACAAGGATCAGCCTTCTGTGACAGAATCCAACCCTCTGTGACAGAGGGTCCAATTCTCTCTGGGAGAGGATCTAACCTTCTCTTGACAAGGTCCAACCCCCCTCTGACAGGGTCCAATACACTGCGACAGAGGATCCAACACTGACAGAATCCAACCCTTTGACAGGATCCAATCATCTCTGACAGGGTCCAACACTGTTACAGGATTCAACACTGTGATAGGCTCCAACCTTATGTAACAATATCCAACTCTCTATGACAGGATCCAACCTTATGTGACAGGGTCCAACCCTGCCTGACAAGATCCAAATCTGTTAGGATCCAATACTCTATGAGAGGATCCAACCCTTTATGACAAGATCCAACCCTCTGTGACAAGATCCAACCTTATATGACAGGATCCAACCCTCTGTGACAGGATCCAACACTCTGTAACAGGATCCAACCCTCTATAACAGGATCCAACCCTCTGTTATAATGGACTACGATGCTCTCACTCGAGTTCCAGAATACATTTCGTCTCCCTCTTTTCTTCCAGATTTTTTTTTTGTATATGCAAAGGTTTTGTGAGAAAATGGACTCTGAAATTCTTATTTGAATTTTCCGAATGACGAGTTTCACATTTAAAAATAAAAAAAATATAAAATAATCAGTGCCATGTTATTTTATAAAAAAAAGGGGGAAGGGAGGGTTGATTTGAAGAATTTTTGCTTTTTTTAGTACTATATGACCCATATGGGTTTACTGCTTGTGTTTTTAATAATGATAATAATAATAACAATAACAGCAATAATAATAATAATAATATTATTATTATTATTATATTTATTTTATTATTATTATTATTATTATTATTATTATTATTATTATTATTATTATTATTGTAAAAGGACACAAGTGCAACTAATGTGACATTTATTGTGGCAACGTTTCGCTCTCCAGGAGCTTTATCAAGCCATTACAAACAATACATGGACACAGAGGGTATATAAAGGCTCAGAGTGAGGTGAATACTAGTGAGGTACCATTTCGATGTTCACTAGTGGTAGTAGTAGTGGTAGTGACAAAAGCAATTAATTTCTGTGTACAACACCGAAATTCCACCAATCATCTTATGAAATTCAGAGACGCCCAATTAGTGATAAAAGAAACTAATTTCCGCACACGCAAGTGCCTTGAATCAGCACTGATCGCTGTTTCGAATACAATTAAACAAAACAACGGCAGCTTCACCATCTCCGAAGTCTTAGCAAGAATCCTCCTGAAAACAGTAAACCCTGCCATCACATAGTCTCTCCTGTTATACTACACAAAGCACAGAGAGTGAACACTGAAACAACCTGCCTCATTCCAGTTTATATTTGTCCAACCTATTTTTATGTTACCCAAGTATTAGCTTTTATATCCTTTTACTCATGTACGAATTAATTGCTTTTGTCACTACCACTACTACTACCACTAGTGAACATCGAAATGGTACTTCACTAGTATTCACCTCACTCTGAGCCTTTATATACCCTCTGTGTCCATGTATTGTTTGTAATGGCTTGATAAAGCTCCTGGAGAGCGAAACGTTGCCACAATAAATGTCACATTAGTTGCACTTGTGTCCTTTTACTTTACATATTGTCGGTAATTCTACCAACTTTATTACATTATTATTATTATTATTATTATTACTATTAATGTTATTATTGTTATATTATTATTATTATTATTATTATTATTATTATTATTATTATTATTATTATTATTATTATAATTATTATTATTATATTATTACTATTAATGTTATTATTGTTATATTATTATTATTATTATTATTATTATTATTATTATTATTATTATTATTATTATTATGGTTGTTGTTGTTGTTATTATAAGGGAAACTCATGATAACCTCATAAAATTACTCTGACCCCCCCCCCTCACATGCTGATACTCGTAATTTCCCGCTTCGTTATTATAATTAATAAGCAGTGAGAAGGTTGGCAGACTCCTGGGAATGATTCAACAACCTCACCCCCAGGAGTCCGCGATCTCCCAGTTGGGAATCATAGATCTTGAAGATACGAAGCTCCTTGGGTTGTAATGAGCCATGAACACACGACCTGCTGACTGCAGTGGTCCTCTACGAAGCTGCCAGTTCTCAGGGTCTGCTGCAGTACTCCGCGACGACCCCGCTGCTCACCTGACCAGGCTCTCGGGGACCACTATGTATACGCCGCTCATATGTGTAGATTTTGTATTCATTTCAAAAACTTCATTTACTGCCACAAGTTTCTCTGATGCGTGTGTTTCACACGCCTGGTGAGTCGTTGCATTGTTACGACAGGGTCACTATTCGCTCCAGTCTCCAGTTTACAGGATCAAGTACCCTAGGGAGATTCATATCCTCCAGTGTTTCACACGCTTACATTGCTTTGACCCGTTCATGCGGCCGGGTCGCTGTACACTCCTCTCTTGTCTTTGAGGTCATAGAGTTAAGTTCCTTATAAAGGACCGTAGGGTCGAGCCTGCACGTTTCACACGAATTTTTTTTTATTAGGCTTCGGACATACGCGAGCTAGATCTCATATAATAGAGCATATTGGCAAGCGGCTACTCCAGTTGAGCTGCTTCGGTATTTTCTGTAACGTAGCCAGATCATCTGAGATCTCTTTTAGTTTGAGCCATAATTCCCTTAGTACCCTCCTACGCTCGGGGTGCGCACCGCTGCTCTCCTGTCTCTGTGTTTTCCCTCTCCATAAAACTGACGACTTTCCGGGCGTAGGTGTTTCTGGTGCTCAGGATACCACGGGAATAACTGTGAGTGTTTGCCTCCAAGGTGTTCCTGGAGACAGTTTAGCAATGATAATAACAGCACTGTTGAAGAACCTTAAGCAAGAAAGTAGTAGTGAGTCGGCCTCACACCAGTGACTACACATCTGCTAATGTATCACACAAGGTTTATAACACAAACAGATGTGTAAAATAGACTTGTGTGCTACCTTTGGAATCTTTAATTTCACTCTATTATGATGTCTGTACAAGATATGTTCTTGTGTATGTACTTATTGTTCTCAACAGTGTTATACTATATATATATATATATATATATATTTATATATATATATATATATATATAATATATATATATATATATATATATATATATATGTTTTATGTCTGTACAAGATATGCTCTCAATAAAAATAAAAAAAAAATTCACTCTATTGGATTGACAAACCTCCTGGAGAGCGAAACGTTGTACGTGTGTCAGATTTATTGATATACCATTATTGGAGCCCATAATTAATGCCCACGTCATATTTAACTTTACGGTGCATTAATTTTTCAAAATACTGACTTTGTATCTCTTCCTTTCAGAGTGGATCCGCGCTGTGTTGTCAAGTTCTCAGAAGCAACGAAGTTTTTCCTTAGCAGCTGTGAGGCTTCCACGTCTACAAGGACTGACAGCTACTATTACTACTACTACTACTACTACTACTACTACTACTACTACTACTACTACTACTACTACTACTACTTCTACCACCCCAGCTGCCACATGAGCCTGGTGTCAGCTGCACTGGCCGCTACTTATCATAAATCCGTGAGGCCTCAGCTACCAAGAGCTCGTGTATGCAACACCAAGTGTTTTTTTTCTTCGTGCAGAAAACTTCCGTGATTTTTTCATTTACACCGAGTTCCTATTATAATTCCACCTCCTTATTTATTTACGTGCTGTGATATAGGCTTAATAAGATCGTCAAGATCCTCTCAGTTGTATCTTGATCGTTGATGTAGTTGCTGAGGTGGAGAGAAAGTTTTCATATTTGAGTGTTTCGTGAAATCTTTTGCACCTTTTGTGAATGCAAGTTGCTGTAGAAAAGGCGAAAGTATATGTGAAAGAAAGTTGGTGCAAGGGTCAGTCAGTTTTGGCAAATTATTAGTACCCAAAAAATTGAACATTATAGTTCACACATATATATTTTTTCTAAGAATGTTTTGGTGGCAATTATTTCCCGTAAGAGTTTCTGCTTAATTTAACAACGATGGTGTAGCGTAGTACAGCGTTTATCAGGCAGTGGCCAGCTTCACTTAGTGAGAGTAGCAACAAGAGTGGTGCTCGATGCTTGCCCTGTGGGATGCTGGTCTAGGTGGCCGAGCGAGGGACGGGAGCTGGAGGCCACAACATGGCGATACTCACCCCAGCCTGCTGCAACACCGCCCTCCCTCCGGCCCGTTTATGAGAGCATGTGGATCCGGACGGTGAAATGATGAAAAAATTACATCAAGCCAAATACAATTTCAAGGCTAAGAGAAGAAGAAGAGGTGCGGGCAGTGGGAGCGGCGGCAGCAGCAGTAAGGAGCAGACTATGGTTCCGACCCACCTCTAGCACTCCTTCAAACTCGAAGTAAATATATCTCCTACACGACCAGTGCCAACTCTTGCTTAAGTTAGTCCTCGAGATTATTTTTTTAAGAGTTATCCATTATAGACTTCAGCCGAAGGTGAATACATATACATATATAAATATATATATTTATATATATGTATATAGTTATACATATACCTGGAACTTAACGACAACGTATAAACGACCTATCCTGCTATCTCCTGTTACCCTCACCAACCACGAGAGTTAAACCGAAATAAAAAAAATAAAAAGTTGCAGTCTTGACTCTAAGGTGACCCCGACACAGGTGTGTGAACGCGCACAGGTAGCAAGATGCGTGAGGTGGTCGCGGGCGGTGACCTCCAGAGACTGACCCCGCGCACGCGCAGAGGGTGAAATGAAGAAACAAAACGTTCGTACGGTTTCCCTTATCGTGTGCACCTTCACATACTTGCTGGTGGGAGCTGCGGTCTTTGACGCCCTCGAGTCAGAACACGAGAGGAGGAAGTCTGAAGTTCTCTGGGGTAAGTCAAACATTTCTTCATTATCCACTCATTATGTTTCTCATCTAACTCTCATACTTACTCCTCCCTCTGCACCTATATTATCACACACACACACAACACCACACTCACACACACACACACACACACAACACACACACACACACACACACACACACACACACACACACATATATATATGCTAGCCAAGGATTCGAACTCATGTACTGGCCTGCCTCATGGTAAGCGAGGACCACATGACGCAGGACCACCCAACCCTACAGGAATGGCTCAGCCAGCAGAGCTAGCTGTTGGGCAGCCATCCGGGGGCATACGGAGGTGTGGGAGCTTCTAAGCTAATTTCATTCTCATCCCTTTAGGGTTGGGTGGTCCTGTGGTTTAAAGCGTCATGTGGTTCTCGCTTACCATGAGGCAGGCCAGTACAACATGGGTTCGAATCCTTGGCTAGCGCAGTGTTGTTATTGGTCAATACCACTCGTCCGTGGTTACAATAATATATATATATATTATATATATATATATATATATATATATATATATATATATATATATATATATATATATATATATATAATATATATATATATCACAGTAAATAGGTGACATCACAATATGCAAAATAACCATAGTGAAATTCAAATTGTTTTCGTTATTTCTCACATTATCAATGAATACTATTTCTTGATAATGTGGAAAATCACAAAAATGCTTGGAATGTGTGTGTGTGTGTGTGTGTGTGTGTGTGTGTGTGTGTGTGTGTGTGTGTGTGTGTGTCTGAGATTGCACATACAGATACACTGTAGAACAAACTTCCATTGTGACAACATTTCGCTCAGTTTAGAGTGTACTAAACGTGATTAAGCTCTGCTCAGAGTGAAACATTGCACTAATAAAACTGTCCTCCACCATTTTTTTCTTTATTACCCCCACACATTTTCCTCCATGTAACACGCACTGGAGGTGTTTACAATACCTCCTTCACTGCCAGACGTAAGTAACTACAATTTTTGTCTTATTTTCGTTGTTGTCGGTTAATTATGCGCAAATATATGTTGATAGACGGTGCATTAACCTAACCTAACCTAACCTAACCTAACCTAACCTAACCTAACCTAACCTAACCTAACCTAACCTAACCTACCTTAACCTAACCTAACCTAACCTACCTTAACCTAACCTAACCTAACCTAACCTAACCTAACCTAACCTAACTTAACTTAACTTAACCTAACTTAACCTAACTTAACCTAAAATAACCTAAACTAACTTATCCCAGAATAAACAGAGAGAAAAAAATCTGACAAATTTCGAATGAGGCAAAAAAAAAAAAATAAAGTCACATAGGGAAAATTAAAACAGAACATGAAATAAATCTCCAAGAAAATATATATATATATTTTTTGACAAAATGTAGGTGCGTCCAACTTGCTTTTATCTCGCGCATAAGAAGAGGAGAAGACTCCATTGTGAACGCTCCCAGGCTGACCCGAGGCGCCGTACAGCTGTTGTTGGAGGCGGGAGATAACACCAGGTAGTTGTTGGTCTGTTATGGCCTCTTTTTTTTAAGCATTTGTTTTATGTCCTGGGTGTTTTAATATCAGGCTCGTTCCTTTATCTGTCAGTCTGAACGTTCTTGCCTTCTACCGTTCGTCTGTTTGCTCCTTTATCTGTTTGAACGTTCGTGCCTTCTACCGTTCGTTTGTTAGTTTCTTTTTCTGCCAGTTTGAACGTTCGTTCTTTGTACCGTTCATTTGGTCGCTCGTCTACTGGTTCACTTGAATGTTACGATCTTCTTCTCCTGTGTTCGTTCCTTTATCCACCCGTTTGCAAGTTCCTTCATTATACACTTTGTTTCTACTTTCGTTCCTTCTCCCGTTCGTTTGGTAGTTCCTCTGTCCGCCGGTAACTACTTTCCTTTATCTGTATATACGTACCTGCGCCCATTTATCCGTTCTTCCATCTACCCATTCCTCCATCTATCTGTTCTTCCATCTATCCGTTCCTCCATCTATCCGTTCCTCCATCTATCCGTTCTTCCATCTATCCGCTCTTCCATCTATTCGTTCTTCCATCTCTCCGTTCTTCCTTCTATCCGTTCTTTCATTTATCCGTTCCTCCATCTGTCCGTTCTTTCATCTATCCGTTCTTTCTTCTGTCCGTTCTTTCATCTATCCGTTCTTCCATCTATCCGTTCTTCCTTGTATCCGTACTTTCATTTATCAGTTCCTATATCTATCCGTTCTTCCATTTATTCTATCATTATCGTGGTCACTAATGATCTGCTTTCCTTCCCACTGGTGATGATCCAGTGATTCCTTCCAACTGGTGATGGTCCAGTGATTCCTTCCCACTGGTGATGGTTCAGTTATTCCTTCCCACTGGTGATGGTCCAGTGATTCCTTCCAACTGGTGATGGTCCAGTGATTCCTTCCCACTGGTGATGGTCCAGTGATTCCTTCCCACTATTGATGGTCCAGTGATTCCTTCCAACTGGTGATGGTCCAGTGATTCCTTCCCACTGGTGATGATCCAGTGATTCCTTCCAACTGGTGATGGTCCAGTGATTCCTTCCCACTGGTGATGGTCCAGTGATTCCTTCCCACTATTGATGGTCCAGTGATTCCTTCCCACTATTGATGGTCCAGTGATTCCTTCCCACTGGTGATGGTCCAGTGGTTCCTTCCCACTGGTGATGGTTCAGTGATTCCTTCCCACTGGTGATGATCCAGTGATTCCTTCCCACTGGTGATGGTCCAGTGATTCCTTCCAACTGGTGATGGTCCAGTGATTCCTTCCCACTGGTGATGGTCCAGTGATTCCTTCCCACTGGTGATGGTTCAGTGATTCCTTCCCACTGGTGATGGTCCAGTGATTCCTTCCCACTGGTGATGGTCCAGTGATTCCTTCCCACTGGTGATGGTCCAGTGATTCCTTCCCACTATTGATGGTCCAGTGATTCCTTCCCACTATTGATGGTCCAGTGATTCCTTCCCACTATTGATGGTCCAGTGATTCCTTCCCACTGGTGATGATCCAGTGATTCCTTCCAACTGGTGATGGTCCAGTGATTCCTTCCCACTGGTGATGGTCCAGTGATTCCTTCCCACTGGTGATGGTCCAGTGATTCCTTCCCACTGGTGATGATCCAGTGATTCCTTCCAACTGGTGATGGTCCAGTGATTCCTTCCCACTGGTGATGGTCCAGTGATTCCTTCCCACTGGTGATGGTCCAGTGATTCCTTCCCACTGGTGATGGTTCAGTTATTCCTTCCCACTGGTGATGGTCCAGTGATTCCTTCCCACTGGTGATGGTCCAGTGATTCCTTCCCACTATTGATGGTCCAGTGATTCCTTCCCACTGGTGATGATCCAGTGGTTCCTTCCCACTGGTGATGTTCCAGTGATTCCTTCCCACTGGTGATGGTCCAGTGATTCCTTCCCACTGGTGATGGTCCAGTGATTCCTTCCCACTGGTGATGATCCAGTGATTCCTTCCAACTGGTGATGGTCCAGTGATTCCTTCCCACTGGTGATGGTCCAGTGATTCCTTCCCACTGGTGATGGTCCAGTGGTTCCTTCCCACTGGTGATGGTCCAGTGATTCCTTCCCACTATTGATGGTCCAGTGATTCCTTCCCACTATTGATGGTCCAGTGATTCCTTCCCACTGGTGATGGTCCAGTGGTTCCTTCCCACTGGTGATGGTTCAGTTATTCTTTCCCACTGGTGATGATCCAGTGATTCCTTCCCACTGGTGATGATCCAGTGATTCCTTCCAACTGGTGATGGTCCAGTGATTCCTTCCCACTGGTGATGGTCCAGTGATTCCTTCCCACTGGTGATGGTCCAGTGATTCCTTCCCACTGGCGATGATCCAGTGATTCCTTCCCACTGGTGATGATCCAGTGATTCCTTCCCACTGGTGATGGTCCAGTGATTCCTTCCAACTGGTGATGGTCCAGTGATTCCTTCCCACTGGTGATGATCCAGTGATTCCTTCCCACTGGAAAAGCCACTGATGCAGTGATGTTCCTGAATTCTTAGTGACATAGCACGAGTTTTCAAGGTTCTAATTACCTCCCCTGGCCTCCGATTGGCCGAGAGCTACCCAGCTTCTTTACATCCTGACCTCTCATTGGTTGGAAGGTATCCGGCCATTACCACCTCCTGACCTAAGATGGGTTAAGCCAGTGTCTTGCCAGCCTGTCAAGGCACGCTCAGTGGTAGTCTGCAGAGTTAGTGGTCCTGAGCTTCGGAATTCTCTGGGCACCCGGTTCGAATCCCTCTCTTGCTTTTATATATTTAGAATTAAGTTGGTCGCATTTTTTTATTTTTTTATGGAGTTAGAGTAACATTAAACGTTTTTCTAGCTCTACTTGCTCGCAAATAATAATAATAATAATAATAATAATAATAATAATAATAATAATAATAATAATAATAATAATAATAAATCTACTAAACTTTTTAAACCTTTATGGTGTCTCAGTATTGTGTTCTGAAGGACGTGTTTTAACAGTGACGAACTATGGCATCTCACTAACAAATGAACATAACAAGGAAAGGTTTATCTTCATCCACAGTGAATTACCTCAACATATAACGTTCGTAACTCCCTTTTACTAGTTCCTGATCCCTTATATCACGAGGAGATAACCATCCTGGCTGCCGAAGAGAGCAAATGGGATCCTGGTCGTATATTGTGGGTGTCCAGCACCATCTAGTAACCCCTTCTCCTGTATACAATTACTAAAAAAGAGAAGAAGAAAAACTTTATAAAACTGGGTTGCTTAAATGTGCGTGGATGTAGTGCGGATGACAAGAAACAGATGATTGCTGATGTTATGAATGAAAAGAAGTTGGATGTCCTGGCCCTAAGCGAAACAAAGCTGAAGGGGGTAGGGGAGTTTCAGTGGGGGGAAATAAATGGGATTAAATCTGGAGTATCTGAGAGAGTTAGAGCAAAGGAAGGGGTAGCAGTAATGTTAAATGATCAGTTAT